TGCAGAGCCAGCCAAAGCAGTAAACCTGCGTGTCTTCCAGTTCGTTCGATCCCTATCAGGTTTTTATCCTCCCCGGATGATGCTCTGTACTCAGGGAGGGACCGGCAAGCTGCTAGCGGTACGTTGGTCAGCCCGGTTCAGGTGAGGCCATTAAGTCCAAAATCAGGCCACCCTTTGCCCCTGGCAGCGTCTGCTTGCTGGTTTGCATCTTGGTTTAGCATTGCTAAAGGGAAGACTGGGAAGACTGACAGCGCTCCAGCAGGCGTGGGTGTGGGCTGAATACTAGCAGGACAAGAGCTTGGTGTGTTGCGCTGTCCCACTTTGGAGAAGTCACATCTCTCAAGGGAAAGTGAGGAAATTAAGCTGCCCGTGGTCTGCCTCTCTCCGCCTCCAGAAACATTTACTGTGTGTATGTGCAAAGGGACCCATAGGTGAAGTGAAAGGAGGTAAGTGGAAGGCCTGACACTAGCCTGCCAGCTGTGGTTGCTACCTCCTGATGATCAGCCCATGTGCTTGCCTCTTAACTGTTGTGTCCACTTGTGTGCATTTTTGGCATTTCTGCAAGGCTGGGAGCCTACAGCAGTAACAGCGTTGCTCCGCAGTGTGCCTGATGTTACAGGGTTTAGTTCTGTTGGAATATGGGAAAAAGAGAGCTGTGTACCTCAGAGAGGGTCATTGTCAGTAAGGCAGGAAGAAGAGGTAATTGCAACAGAGGCAGGAGTTGAAGAGGAGGCGGCCACAGTAGCCTGTGAGCAGGGCAGAGAACAGGCAGCACTATGGAAGAAAAGTGATAGGAAGTCTGAATGGCCTTCTGAAGCAAGGAAGTGACAGGCAGGGTCAGAAAAACACCCAGTAATACGAGCCAGGGAAGCCTCTTAGCCTGGGTTAATCAGCTCAGCCTATTCCTTCCACGTTTGCTTCTCCTTTCCACTTGATTAGCAAATTCTTTCCCCAGAAAGTACTGAGGCATGTTCCTCGCTGCCCTGCCCCCCTGCAGATAGTGGTGCCTGTGGTAAAATGGCTTAGACTCTTAGTTACCTTTCCACTCGGGACTGTAATTTTCAGCATACCATTCTGATTAGCTAATACTTCATACCCCATGCAAGCTGCTGAAGAATGATAAACTGAGGCCTTGAATAGCAGCCTTCTGCACTGACAGGAGTAACTGCAGCAGGTATAAAGCAGTAGAAAATTTGTCCCCATGACCCGCTTCCCACCTAATTTACTGCTACAATTTTTTTACCCCACTAGCATCTGCAGACTTATACCTGATTTGGTTGATGGCAGAGCAGAACAAGGGACAAGGAAAACCATGTTGAAATGATTTCCTGGCATGTAGAGAAGATTTCTAAGGGTCTGGGTGCCACTGTTGTGCTCCTTGGAATAAGTGAGAGAGGTCTTCGGTTGAAGTCAGGGAAGTGTGAATTTGAAGGGTGTTATGCAACTAATGCTAGAAGGCTTTGAAAATGTGCTGGACCCAAGGGAGATTAGTGGGAAGTGAAAGGAGTAGTTTAAGGGCCATGTCCTGCCCTGTGATGAGGTTGCTTTGTGTTGCCAGAGCAACTCTACAGAGCTTGGTCCTCAGAGTATTTCTTTGCTTATGGCTTGGAGCTCCCATCGCAGCTGCCAAAAGTCATTAGTGAGCAACTCTACAGAGCTTGGTCCTCAGAGTATTTTGGCAGCATCGCAGCTGCCAAAAGTCATTAGTTCAGGAGACTAGGAAGGAGAAAAGGCTTTTACATCGTGCTCAATAACTAGCTCCCAGAGTCCAAACCAACGTAAAATGGAAATATTCTAGTGCTGCCTTGTGACATGGTGGATGGCTGGGTCCTAACAGGTTCTTTGTGTGCCATCCTTGGTCTTGTCTGAGCAGGACCTAACCTGGTGGCCAGAGGAAATGGAGTTTGACTTTTGGAATATTATATGTTTTACCACAGACTTTCTTCTGGCAGCGGCCTGAACTAGATTTTCCCCTAAGGGATATTAGAGCTCATTTGCCTCAGCAAATTTAAAGCTGGTGAAAATCATGGGGCTGATGGCTGAGGAGCCTGGCACCTCCTGTTCCTCTCCAGAAGTGACTGTTGGTGAGCAATACTGCTTTGAGACACCTCCTGCCAGCTTCCACTTTGCAGGACTTGCTGCCTTCCTGCTGCCTTTGTCGCAGCAGGCTCTGGGGGTAATTGCAACTACCCCATTTCCGTCAGGCTCCACGAAGGGGCTGGGGCCATAGCAGCCTGACAGCCTGTTTCCGCAGTCTGTGTGTGGCCATGGTGGGGCACACGATTCCTGTGTCTGAAAATAGTGCTGACAGCATGCTGGGAGCCTGAGAGCAGCCTCTAATGAGCTGCTTACAGATGCTGTCCTCTTTTGTGTGGAGCCTTGTCCTCAGGAGACCACAAGTCCCTTCATGCAGAGTGAATTTCAGTGGAGACAGGAGGGAGCGGCACACGCTGTGGCTTGCGGTCTGTAGAGATTGGTGTTCACAAGGGGTCTTGGATGTTTACATTTCATATCCAACATGTATGAGGTGATATGTGGTTGCTCCCTTCTAGGAGACAGAAGAAGACAGCCTCTCATGCTGTGACGGAGCTGGAGAACACCAAGGATTGCAGCCAGGCTGGGAAGCCTCTCTTCTGCCCTTCCCATCCCACAGAGGAGCTAAGGCTGTTCTGCGAGCAGTGTGACCAGCCTGTGTGCCGGGATTGCATTGTAGACAGGCATCGGCAGCACCCCTATGACTTCACCGGCAATGTCATCCACAGGCATGGGGACGCCTTGCGGGAGCTGCTGAAAGGCACTCAGCAGCACATGGGTACCCTAGAGAGTGCGCTGAGCCAGATTGATGGCATGGGCAGTGCCATCCGCAGTCGCACAGAGGCCGTGGCCACAGAGGTCTGTCTGTTTGCCAGTGGGTATGTGAAAGCAATTGAAGAGCACAGGGACCGGCTACTGAAGCAGCTGGAGGACTTGAAAGTGCAGAAGGAAAACCTGCTGCACTTGCAGAAGGCCCAGCTGCAGCAGCTGCTGCTGGACATGCGGACTGGCGTGGAGTTCACAGAGCGCTTGCTGACGAGTGGCTCGGACCTGGAGATCCTCATC